AAGTGAACGGTGAGGCTATGTCTACACTTCAGGCTTCCACAAAAAGTGAGTGACTAGACAACTCATAGTTTGAGCCAATGCTGATAGGTTGTCAAACCCGACATGGATTCTATGATGTCATGACCCCTCTCTCTCAGCTCTCAGCTGGGGCAGGAGGTTGGGGCTCACAGTGGGGGAGGGCTCCATCTGGGGATTCAGGTTTGGGGTTCAGGATTCTGCTCTCAGTTGGGATGGGAGAGTTTGGGAGACCGAAGGGGAATCAGGGCTCAAGCAGGGGGTTGGGGCACCGGTGGGGCAGCAGTGAGGCTCCGGCTGGGGTTTGGGGTGCTGGAGGTGGCAGTGAGGCTCCGGCTGGGAGAACAGGTTCTGGTTTGGGGCTAGAGATGACAGGTTTGGGGTATAGGAGAGAGCTCCAAGCTGAGAACAAGGGGTTTGGAGTCGGAAGGGAATCAGGACAGGGGTGGGGAAGGCTCAGGGGTGCAGAATCTGGGCGGCACTGACCTGACAGGGTTCCTGGAAGCAGTGGTCCATCTCCCCCACCCCTTGTCTCCTACACTGAAGTGCAGCTACGCAGCTCTGTGCACTGCCCTGTCCACAGGCACCAGCCCTGTAGCTCCCACTGGCTGTGGTTCCCGGCCAAGGGGAGCTGAAGAACCAGCACCTGGGCCAGGGGCACCGTGTGAAGCCCCCTGGCTGCCCCTGCTTCCGGGAGCCATGCAGAGCCGCTACACATGTGGAGCAGGGCAAGGCAAGCCCCCAACCCCACTCCCCAGCGGAGCACCAGAGCGGGATGAGCTCTCAACAGGAGCTTGAGAGCCAGAGTAAAAGGTTCAACGGGCCAGATGCAGCCTGCAGGGTGTAGTTTGCCCATCTCTGAGCTAAATAAGCAGTGAGGACATAGGGCGCTCTCAAGAGGCACTCAAACCCTTGCAAAATCAGGCCTTGTAATGATGAGGTAGTGGAACAGGGGACAGATTTTCAAAGGCACAAATGGCAGTGAAAGTCAATGGGAGTGTGGCACTCCCCCCCCACTCTCACTCCTGCCCCCCGCCCTGCTTAACTCTTGTAAGTGCCTGACTCCAGTGATGTCCATGCAGCCATGCCAGTTTCCATCAGCAGAAGATCTGGGGTTTCTACAGCAGCTTGTAATAAACACAGAAATGGCTGATCAAGATGTGATGTGCCATTGATCACTGCACGGCATAGCTAAGTCTTTGCTGTGTGAGAGCAAGCAGCTAGACATGAATGTCGTCTGATCTGAGCCAGACGTGCACGCCCAGCTCAGAGATTTTAGTGCTGTTGAAATTTTAAACGGTTTGTGTGTGGTGGATTCAGAAATCCTTCAGTCTCACTCACTATAATCTTTCTGCCACTGAAAGGTAGCAGTCACGACAAGCTCTTTGTGTTCATTACACAGTGCAATATTCACTGGTCCATTTAATTAATGCTTAGAAAATGGACTTGGTGAATTACGTGACAGGGCGATGGGCAGAGAGAGAAACAGGAGTGTAATTAACTTGATCGTTTAATGTAGATTGTGAAGTTAACCCTCCCCCCCCAAGCCCTTTGGAGATTTCACAACTCCTGCTCTAAGAGTAGGGAATTACACTTTCCTGGAAGTGCTTAGGCTACGTCTACACAGCAGTGTTACTTCAGAATAACTGACGTTATTTCGAAATAATAAAACGCACGTCTACACAGCAAGCTGTTGTTTCGAAATCATGCTGAGATGGAGGACTTCTGTAACCCTCATTACATGAGGGCTGTGTCTAGACTGGCCACTTTTTCCGGAAAAGCAGGTGCTTTTCCGGAAAAACTTGCCAGCTGTCTACACTGGCCGCTTGAATTTCCAGAAAAACACTGACGATCTCATGTAAGATTGTCAGTGATTTTCCGGAAATACTATGCTGCTCCCGTTCAGGCAAAAGTCTTTTTCCGAAAGACTTTTGCGCAAAAGGGCCAGTGTAGACAGCACAGTACTGTTTTCCGCAAAAAAGCCCCGATCGTGAAAATGGCGATCGGGGCTTTTTTGTGGGAAAGCGCGTCTAGATTGGCCACGGACGCTTTTCCGGAAAAAGTGCTTTTGTGGAAAAGCATCCTGCCAATCTAGATGCGCTTCTCTGAAAATGCTTTCAACGGAAAAAGATTTCCGGAAAATCATGCCAGTGTAGACGTAGCCAAGGGAAGTCGAAGGACGAGTGTTCTTCCTTCAACTTCCTGCTGTGTCGACAGCACCAAAAGCCCAATTAAGCTGTTTCAACTTCAGATGCGCAATAGACATAGCTGAAGTTGCGTATCTTAATTTGATTTTTGCCCTGCTGTGTAGATGTACCCTTACTAGCTACAATGGAAACACTGAATTTAACTGTCTAATGCAGCACTATTTGATTGTATTACAGTAGCATGTAGATCTGCTACTGAAATGAGGGCCCGATAGTGCTAGGCACATAAAAAAAAGATGCCTTTCTATGTCTCAGGTCAGCCAGCAGTTATGGGCTTGACACAGGGGTTATCGGATGATATTCCTGGACCTGTGTGATGCAAGAACTCCAACTAGATGATCTGTGTGGTCCCTTCTGATTTAAAATGGATGCATCTAGGACCAGAAGAGCTTTCTATCTAAATAGACAAAGCGGGGGGGAGGGGGTGAGAAGTAATATAATCCCTGTCCTAAAGACTGGGAACAGAAGCACAGAAAGAGAGTTGAGTTGCCCAGCGTCACGCAGAAAACCTGTGGCAGACTCAGGAATTGACTCCCAGTCTCCTGTGTTTTAGTTCAGGGCTGTAACTACAGGACCATTCCTCCCCCCGCTTCAGCAGAGCGATTTGATCATTGCATAGTGTATTTGGCAATTGGTAGGGCAGAGGAAGGGTTCATAATCAGGGGGCACAGCACAATAAAAAGTGCCACCTCCATCTCCTTGCTCCGGTGCTGGCTGTGAAGTTAAAGGAATGAGCTGCTGTTCCGAGCGCAAGAGTTTTCTGCACAAACCTATTTTCTTTTAAATAAAGCAGTGGTTTCTCTGAGCCCGTGTATTCTGTTGTCTAGGGCTGCGTCCGCACCAGCGCCTTCCCAGAATACATTACACCAGGCAGTCACTTGAGAGCTGGGTTTTCTTTGTGCATCTAAAGTATCCTTCTGCAAGCTCTCAGCGATGCAGGGACTCACTTCCACCAGCAAACGGTTTGTATGTGCCCAGAAGTGGCATCCTTGCAGCTTCAAGAAATGCAAGACTGCCCCCTAGTGTTGGTTTTTGAGCCAGTAGCAGACTAACAAGAATCTTTGCTACTAACCAGCATTGCTGCAAACTCCACTTGGGATCTGAAAATCGAGCCCTTCCCTCCTCTTTCCTTGGTGCAGTAAGAAAGATCCCACACGGTGTGGCTTGAGGGGCATGGGGTAGAATTCCACTGCTGCTCTCGGGCGCCCGCAACAGCAATCATTTTGTCACTGGTTTCTGTAGCAGGGGCTCCAGATGGATGCAGAGAGCAGGTGTAGTTAGAAAAGTGCCGGTTTTACACAGTCCCTTTTCAGGACAGAGCTGAGTATATAAAACAGTTTGTTCAATAGGGCAGGAAAGAAGCAGTTTTGATGGGTCTTCTGAGGACATTAAGGACTGGGATTCCTGTTAACGAATGTGTACATTGCAATGGTACCCATCACCCTAGTCCAGATCGGAACCCCGCTGTGCCACCGTTCCACTCAGGATTAGAGTGACACTGTACAAGCACGTACAAGGAGCTTACAAATTAAGGCCCCCCCAGACCTGATAACTGCTTCATATGGGCGCAGACTTGTGCATCACCTGCTGGACCTCAGAGGGACTCCTCCCAGGCACAAAGCAGCTGGAGGGTCGGGTTAAAGTCTTCACTGAAGTTGGGCCAGATTAGAGCAGCGCTGAATTTAAGCCTGGATTTTTAAAGGATCTTTCTTTTTCTGCTACCTCCTAATTATACAGACGATGTTTCCCAGGCACTTTCCCGCATATAATTGCCTCTGGTGCTGTTTGTAGTGTTGTTTAGATTAAGGATGTTAAGAAGCAGGTAATTTGCTTAATCGTGTCTTTGATACAATTTGTGTCAATGACACAATTAGTCAATAAAGGGAGGTGCTCGCTATATCCGCTGTGGTTCTGCAGTTTAAATGTAGTAGGAGGTGGGCGCACAGACAGCCTGGCTCCTACTACATTTAAACTTCAGTCGGAGCAGGGGTGGTTCCCAGAGCTGACGTGAGCCGGGACTGAGCAGTCTCGGCTCACTTCGACTCCAGAACCACTGTAGCTCCGCCTCCCTGTCCCCCCTCTGCACCACAGAGATGGTACTGGGGGGAACTGGCTTTTAATGCAGGCCCCAAACAATAGAGAGGAAAGCACCATTTACGCAAATCAATAGAATTTTTTATGGATACAAACTTTGTGTCTGCATCTGATCCACAATCTGCAAACATGGTCCAGGGCTATAAAGTGAATGTCCATGGATTTGCAAGGCTCTACAAATAAAATCTGATTCAGAGTGTGTTGCGGGAGGAGGGGGGGGGCAGAGTTTTAATGGGAAGGATTTGGCTGGACATGTTTCATCTGCCTATTCAGGAACCACCTATTACTATACTGAACTGAGTTATAATGCAGTCATTTCTGAACAGCGCCAAGCCATGCTAGCCCGCATCACAGGCTAGAAGTGAAAAAGATGTACCAACCAAGATTGCAGGGGAAGATTGGATAGGTGTAAATATGGGTAGATATAAATCCCATGCTGAAATAAAATAATCCAATTGACAATCCTTTTTCTTTCATCGTGGTCAGGATTTATACATAGTTATGCTGAATAATCGGGTCTTAAAGAACTCACAGATCTCACCAAACCCAGAAGCCTAATTGTAAACAAAGGAACTTCTTTTATTCTGACAGTCCTCATGTCTTTACTGATCATATTTTTCATGCCGTGTAGGTCTAATGGTAAGTTTCCTGTTTGTCTCATCTCTCTGTCCATTTCCTTTTCAGGTTCTACATTGAGAGCATATCGTATTTAAAGGATAATGCCACCATCGAGTTGTTTTTCTTGAATGCAAAGTCTTGCATTTACAAGGTAAGGACTCTTTTGAATTAAGGTAGGGACTGAGGGATTCGGGAAAACTGAGCTACTTCATCGGTACACGAGGTTTTCCATTTGCCCATAAGTAGGTGCGCTGCTATACATAATCCGCTTCCACTGCTGCTGATTCAGGTTGTAATGAAATAAAATACCCACAGATCTCTAATGAGAGAAGAGAGCTCATGTGAATAAGAGAGGATGTGACCTTGCATTATTCACCTTCCCACGATCTCCTGGTTTATTTACTCTGCCATCTACAGATTGTTTCACCTTGCTTATGCCATATCCCAGCCCTTTCCAGAGCACCCTCATATGTGATCTGTCATTTGTTTTGTGTACTGCATTGTAACAACAAGAGAGGACTCCACGCTGGTAAAACTGGCACTTTGTTCAGGGAACTGTTACAGAGGTGCTGCAACTGCCATTAACATTCCAGCTCTGTGAACACAGACTGACTTCCATTCCTGGTGCCTCCTCCAAACTCTTCCCTCCTGCAACTTCTCTTCCTCACATACAGGTTGCTACAGTGTCTTTCATAAACTGAAGGCTTGGTTATCCTCTCTCATACAGGGCAGAAAATAGTAAGTAATTTCCTTGAATGGAGTTATACCAGTGCATTTAGTCCTGAGTGGAGCACAGGATTAGGTTCAGGATATAACCGTTACTGGACCGCTTGGGAATAGTGACCATAATATAATAACATTCAACATTCCTGTGGTGGGAAGAACATCTCAGCAGTCCAGCACCCTGGCATTTAATTTCAAAAAGGGGAATTACACAAAAATGAGGAGGTTAGTTAAACAGAAATTAAAAGGCACAGTGACTAGAGCCAAATCCCTGAAAGCTGCATGGAAACTTTTTAAAGACACCATAATAGAGGCCCAACATAAATGTATACCCCAAATTAAAAAACATAGCAAGAGACCTAAAAAAAGAGTCACTGTGGCTTAACCACCATGTAAAAGAAGCAGTGAGGGACAAAAAGGTATCTTTTAAGAAGTGGAAGTCCAATCCTAGTGAGATAAATAGAAAGGAACATAAACACTGTCAAATCAAGTGTAAACATGTAATAAGAAAAGCAAAAAAAGATTTTGAGGAACAGCTAGCCAAAAACTCAAAAAGAAATAACAAAATGTTTTTAAGTACATTAGAAGCAGGAAGCCTGCTAAAAAGCCTGAGGGTCCCCTAGATGATCGAGCTATAAAAGGAGCAATCAAGGACAATAAAGCCATTGCAGA